GACAGAGTGGAACTGCCCACAGGGTCTCCAAGGCTGTCATCTTCACAGAAGCAAAGCCCAAACCACACCCACTGCCGTGGAGTCCATTCTGACTCACAGCGCCCCTACAGGACAGAGTGGAACTGCCCCACAGGGTCTCCAAGGCTGTCAATCGTCACAGAAGCAAAGCCCAAACCACACCCACTGCCTCGGAGTCAATTCTGACCCACAGCGCCCCTAGAGGACAGAGTAGAACTGCCCACAGGGTTCCCAAGGCTGCCCACAGTCTCATCTTTCTCCTGCTGTGCTGTGGGTGAGTTCAAAACACAAACCTTTTGGTTAGTAGCTAAGCTCTACAGTACTTAACCCCTGCAGCACCAGAGCTCCGAAAATGGGCTGGAGATTTTCACCTTTTGAAGGCAGTTATTTCATTGCCTTGCAGGGACATCTCCCGTTTACCCATAATTGTCATAAGGAGGTAGCACAATGAGAAGTTGTTATCTGATGATCTCCTGCTCCCTGAGTCCCAGCTGCCCTGTTCTCAACTGTTTGCTCTCTTGTCTGTCCAGAGAAAGAGAAATAGATTGACAAGGAAAGGTGACAGTTTGGTGACTACCTCTTAGGAGCACTCAAGGAGTGCTGCTCTGACATCTTTCCTTCCTGCAGCCAGAGACCCCGACTCAATGCAGAAGGTGAACATCAATCTGGTCCCCCAGGGGCAGTGCCAGGACACCTATAGGACCCACCACATCCAGGACAGCATGCTGTGCCTGGGCATCGTGCCTGGAAGGAGGCTGCCCTGCAAGGTAGTGCACTCCAGGGACTGGCTTTTCCCATTTCCTCCCCTGGGTCTCTTGCCTGAGAGATCACCTGGTGTCCTTCTCCCTGCAGGAAGTCACAGCTGCCCCAGCCGTGTGCAACGGGACGCTCCACGGAATCCTGGCTTTTGCAGATGGGTGTGTGCTGAGGGCAGATGTTGGCATCTACACCAGAATCTTTAGCTACATGACCTGGATTCAACATGTAATCCAAAACTCCTGAACCCCCATGCCAGGGGCACTAGGCCATGTCCCTCAGCCGGGCCAGAATAAAAGCAAAATGGCTGCCTGGGGTGGCATCACGCGTACCCGTCGGGCCCCTGCTGACCAGGGAGGCTGACTGAGCCCTGGCTTGTATGCACCTGTGCTGGGACTGCCCCGGCCACCCTCCTTCTCCTCTTTAGAGGAGAAGTTTCCCAGAGAGTCGACGTTTATGCAGTGGGGCCTGTGTTCTCTGTGACACACTCATTGTGGAACTCAGCTTAGGGCAAAAGCCCAACTCCATCACCGTTTGGAAAGCCCAAACTCGTGCACTGACCTGGACAGCTAGTGCTATTGGAGACTTACCCACACCTGTTGGAGAAGGGAGACTGGAGGGAGGGGCGGAAATGGCAGCAGAGGGAGGGGAGCTGCTCAGGCTGGGGACTGGGAGTTTCTGCTCACCCCTGCCACTCCCAACACCAGGCAGAGGTTCTGGCTGTTCATCCCATAGAATTCTGGGTGAGGATTGGGCTGCTAGGCCGTGTGAGCTCGGACCTCGGCTTCTTCATCTGTGGGATGGAGAAGCACAAACTCCCTCCTCGGAGTCCTAGGTTCCACGGGGGGAACCGTAGAGAGCGGAGCTTGGCACAGACTAAGGCCTCACAACCACCGCGACGCTAAATTTCACAGAATTCATAGTAGCTTTTTGTCTTCCTTTAATCTCCCATCACTTAGTAATCACCAACACTGATAAGAGGGCTCATTTTTCAGAAAGTTTGGAAACCAATGAGCTGGAAAATTAGGTTTAAAGACACCATGTCTGTCATCTTTCCAACCGCAGCATGTTACAGAAAACGATATGGAGACACAGAAGGGTTTAGCACCCCAAAGTCACGTATCCTGGCCTGGGCTGGGCTGGGCTGAGGCTCCCTGCTGCATCACAGACACTCAATGCATAAGGACAGGAAGCAGATGGGGCAGACTGGCCCCACCTCTGGACAGCCCCCATAAAGCCTAGCTATGGCCTGACTTCCTGGGACTGCGTCTACCAAGTTCACCTTCACCTTCACCTCCGTGTACCCCATCCCTCCAGCCGCGTCCCTCCTGAGGGGCGAAGGAGGGAGGTTCTGGAGGCGCCAGCAAAGCCACAGACCCTGCACGCCAGAAAAATCCACTACGATAGGGACAGACTGTCCTCCACAGGAGAACCGCTAAGCGTCTAATCCTAGTTGTGTTGTGCTGGGGGTGGGTCGGTCTGGGATGCGACTGTGAGGAAAGCGCTGGGAGAGGGGAGATGACCGACAGGGAAGAGAGAGAAGAGCCCCCTGGAGGCGGGAAGGCAGGCCCGGCTTGTCACCAGGACCCTGCCTCTTCCCAGAGGGCAGCCTTCGGGGAGGGACCCTGGCCTAGCTCAGGTGACAGGGCCACCTTCAGGGCTCCCCGCCTGCCCTTCCTCACTGTAATCCCCAGGAGAGATTGGGATCAGAGTGTCTCCTGTTTTGCCCTCCTGCGCTTCAAGGTCAGCCATCCTTGTCCCCAGGCTCTGCCTCCCCCTCCTCTCTGGGCTGGCTCCCTTCTGGGGCCGGGTAAGCTTCTCCCTTCCAGAGGTTGCTTAGTGCTCACCCTTCTTGGCGACCCCATCACACCCTCGTTACTACTCCTGAATGCTCCCAGGAGCAGGTGGATGCTGTAGGGCCGAAAAGGATCTGAGATGTGCACAGACACATAAACAGACTCCCCTCCTGCCCGCACACGCGCGC